TAATAATACTGTTTATAACAAAGGAGATAAGTAAAAATAAAAAAAAAAAAATGTTATTATTTGTAAAAATTATGTTCTGTGAAATGTACCCTTTACTACACTATTGTTTTCATAATATATAATAGAACATATCGTTTTTTAAATATAGTTAAACATTTTATGTGAGTGTATGCGTGAGTTGTCAACTAGAATAGTGATATAAGACTTGAGTTGAGAAAAATGATATTTTTATATACAAGTTATTATATATATATGAAAGGGAGCATAACTGGGAAGTATCAGCCAAGAAGGAGATGATTTTAAATAAAGAAAAATAATTTAGAATAAAACTTTCTTATACAAAGTTTTGAAAAATTTTGGAATTGGAAAATTAGTAATATCTGCTTTATAAGCATATTTATTTATTGTATTATTACTGGATAATGATATATGTTACACAACTATATATTAGATTTTTAAATGGATATATAAGTATCGTTATATATATAGAAGTACTTTTTTTGTGGATTCCGAATTTTTTAGCTAATTTTGAGTATAGTTACAAAAAATGTTAAAAAAGTCATTCATTGCAATTTTTTGTAATGTATACCTTTATAATTAAAAGAAAGAGAGAGCTCGAAACCAAAATTTTATAAAAATGCAGTCTACTTTAAACTAATTGAAGAATGATTTTATTATATCCATTATACTTGTTTCTTTAAAGCTTAATTTTTAATAAGTCCTTTAATAAGCATTTTCAATTCGACTCAACATTTTTGTAAAAGAAAAACAGACTCAAAATTAATTAAAGAATTCGCAGTTGAAAAGAAATGTGATTATATAGAGATACTCTGTATTAATTATTTTGATAATTGCTATTTAGTTCTTTTGTAATAACTTAATGTTCAAACACTAAAAGGAAAAATTGATTATTATTAGTTTTGTATTTATCTGGATGTGTGTCAAATAGGAATTGGTTTGATACTTTTTTAATCTCTTTATATGTATGTGATGTAATGTGTAAAATAATTAGTGTATTATTAATAATTAATATTATATATTATTACACAATTATCATCATCATTGTCATTTTCATTTTTACTCTCAACATAATTTTTATTATTTTATCGTTAGTGTATCTTATTAAAATCCATAGTAAAATTATTAATTGTATTTAGTCCTTTTTTTCATTTTTTTCATTGTAACTTTACTATTCAATTGCATTAGATCCCATTTAGCAGTATCATATCTATAATTTAAGAAGATGCAGAACATAAGCTGTGTTCCAAAATTCACTGGAAATCTACGAGTTCTCTGGAGTTCATGTAATGTATATTATAAATTTTCAGTACTCTCTCTCTCTCTCTCTCTCTAACAGTGAATTTCGGAACATAGTCTATATATCAATTTTTAAGTAAAAAAGTTCTGATTGAACATATCACTGGTTTAAGAGATTAAGATATCTTTAGATATTATGGTCCCTTCATATCATTCTTTTTTCTTAGATTTCTAAACTTTTTTCATTCTTTTATTTTTAAACTTCAATAGAAAGATAGAAATAATTTTTTATCAGTTCTCATATATAAGAAATTAATTCTTTATTTCTATTTTTTATTAAAATTTAGAAAAATTCGAATAATATTACAAAAGAGCTTATATCAAAAGAAAATTGTATATGTTAGAATATATATTTTTCATTAACTTTGATTGTGTAGTAAAATTGATAACGATACATACCTTTGTTCTCATAGATATATATCCTGTTTACTCTTAATAAACTTCTTATTCTTGAAATAACTTTCTATATACTTGCTGACACATTCTTGCTCTGAAATATACAAACAAAAGAATTTTGTTATTAGAAAATAATTTCTTAGTGTACTATATCTACAATATTTCTATTTTTTTCTTGAAAAATATGAAAAATATAACATGCAGTATAAAATAAAAATTTCTAAATTAGAAATGGAATAAAATAAAATCTATGTAGTAATATACATATTGTAAAACCAGTTCTATAAAAACTGTTTTTTTTGCAAATGGAATTGTCTCGACAAAATTTTGCCCTAGTGTTATGCCAAGATATTCAGTTCATTACACATCAATATAATCATCCAAAATAATACATTATGTATTAATTATGTACATACTCTTAGATATATGTGCAAAGAAATATAATTAATTATGCTAAGAACATGACACAGATTGATTACCTGGAAATGTATTTTCTATAATGAGCATGTCTGCGATATACTTTGCGACAATTTTAAAAAGCTGTCGATCTTTAATTCTTCTCTTTTTGTAAAATGGCATTAAATATTTAACAATCCAAGGTGCTATTCTTTCTTTGCAAGCTGGTAAATAATCTTCAATACAAATTGGTGATTCTGGCATCATTTCTTCTTCCTCACATTCCCCAAACAACTCAAGGAATTGTTCTTTTATTTTTCCATGCTTACGGTAATTCGTCAATGATAATTCAGTCATTTTGGCTTTCAGTTGTGAAACTTGATGCACTCGTTCCACAAACCAAATAGCATTTAACCTCTGTTTTTGTTTATTTTCACCAATTCCATTTCCATTAGCTTCCTTTGATTTATTGGCTTTTCTATTTTGCATTTCCTTATAACGACTAAAGCTAACTTTTCCTTTGCTTGTACTTACTTTTGCTATTTTAGATTTTGGTATATTATCATTTTGTGGTATACCAAAAAGATTCGAATCTGCTTCTAAACATATCTTATTAATTTCCTTATCAATATTAGCCTTTGTAACACCAGAATGTTTCTCAATTAATTTTGTAATATCACTACTGTCATCACTCTCGCAGAACATATCTTCCATATGTTGTAATAGTGAATCTTGTGAATTTTCGTCTTCATTTCTAATTGTAGTTAGATCATCCATCATTGAAAAATCATTCTGATCATTATCTCCCTGACTAGCGTCATTAGATTCTTCTTTTACAGCCTCTTGCAACATATGTGTATCCATCTCATTATCAATACTTTTCATAACATTTTCACTCGTATGAGAATTGCTGGAATTCATTGTTTCTAACGCCTCCTCACAGTTGGGCATATATACATTTTGTGTATTATCTACTTCTTGCAAATCTGACCATCTGTCATCTGTTTGTACAGCAACATCAATTTTATCCTTAGATGTTTCTAAAAATATTACTAATTTTTTATATGCTTTTTTTTTGACAGTATGTGATTTTATATCTGCAATCTGCAAGGATAAACAAATTGCAGTATAAATTATTAAAATGTTAAATAAAACTCATTAACATTTCTTTTATTACCATTGTCAATATTAAATTTCCTTACCATTCTTAACATATTTTGTCTGTACAAAGTAGCTTCTAATGCCAATCGAACTGCATGTAGTTCCATTTGATCTGCGCATTTTTTTACTTCAATACTTGCTATGTCATTTTCTGTGTGTTTATAACAAGTTATATAATTACCAAGTAAACATTTATGAAGATAGGACAAGTATACAGCACGAACCTGCAAAAATAATATATGATATAATAATTGTAATATAAATAATGACAAGTCAATGATATACATGCACTCCAATATTAATAAAATTCTATTTAAAACACACTTTGATTTTAATTAAATTATCTCTCTCTCTCTCTCTCTCTCTCTATATATATATATATATATATATTATGTTACATCAATGAATATTACTTATTTTGTTTTGACCTGAACTTTTTATCCAATTATTTTATAAATCTGACTATAATATAATTTAAATTCTTTCTATATTGATATGTATTTTAATTAAACTAGTATGTCATATCAAAGCTCGCAGAATAAGCATACAATAAATATTAAACAATTTCTATGTAAGTTTCAATACGCAGTTTGTCAGAGAATTCTGCTTATATCTATTATTGTGTGTTACAGAACACAAAACAGAATATAATTACACCTTTATCAGAATCAATCTTTCAAGATCTTCATAAAAATCGAAAAGAAATGTGTATGAGCACAGTTTACATTAGTTACATGTAAAAAAAAAAACATGCCATTGCAGTGAGACGTAAGAACTCATTGTTGGATTCGTCGATTAAAACAGAATTATTCATGGAAAGCGATGGCAGGGGCATGGATAAGAAATCGTCACTATCATCCAGGCTAATATCATCATCGTTGTCATTGCAGACATCCTGTCCTTTCCTTGGCGCAAAGTCAATACGATCTGTTGTCATCATTGTAGCTAATGTCTCGCGATCATTATATCATGAATAAAAATTAGAACGTTCGTTGCAACAAATCTAACAATAATGTGATTGTCAATCATAGGTATCGTTTACACATTATTTATGTTCATTTTTGGCGATTACAACCAATTTAATTGATATAAACTGCCGCTTCGGAACCGCTACAAAAAATTAGCGTCTCTTACTAGTATCACAACATCAGATCAGAGATATACAGGATATTAGTTATTTTTCCTTCTTGCCCTGCCATCTAACGTCAATATTCTATTTGTCGTACGATAAATTCGTCGAACGCGTAGATTGGTTACCGGAGAGGGAATTTCTAGGTATCCAAAAGTTCCCTATAACGACAGCCAATCAGTTCCTGCTAGTAACAGATATGGAATACCGGCCCATTTGCGCGCGCCAAGTAACGGTCCTTTTTGCCCTGGAAATGGCGGTAACGTAAGTAGTTTCGCACGCTTGATCTCGACAATTTTGGCGATTATACAACTTTTCGAGTCGCGATAATATCAAACTTTTCGCATCGTGAAGCTTTGAATGATTTTATCGTCCAAATGGAGTTTAGCGATCGATAAAATTGTCGAGTTGGTATAAAATTTTCACCTTTCGATCTCGCGCTTTTTTCACGAAGAGCAAAAAGTTTCACGCAAACTCGGCAATCTCAACGATCTCTGAACTTTTTGCTCTCAATTATCACGGTATTTTTACGCGAGGAATCTTACATTTTTCTGCGATTCGACAAATTATACATTATTAAAATTGTCGAAAAACTTTTTAGGCTTCCGCTATTGAGGGGAAGTTAAAAAATTCTGTCTATCTCGAATGGAGTCCCTTGTGTGATAGAGAGCAGTAACGAAAGAACATTAGCAGGTATTTATATTTTACGAATTTGTTTTTTGAGATTTATTTATATACATGTATGTGTGTACATGTGCATATCATGAAACGCGCGCGCGAACACACACACACACACACATACCCACCTATACAGCACAAAACATTGCAGCAACATTGCAACATTGTAGCAACCTTGCGGCAATGTTGTAATGTTGCTGCAATGTTCTGTGCTGTATGGGCGCGCGCGCGCGCGCGCGCCTGATAAAAATAATCTGCAAGTTTTTTAATATTATATATATCTAGATGAATAAAAATTTAATAGATATGGGTGTTTCTGACAGGTTTAATAATTTATTGTTTTTTATCAAACGTGTACCTGAAAAATAATATTTTATGCATTTTCGACTTGTTTTTTCACGTACATGCAATAAAATCACTACTGATAACATTACCAATAAATGCTCACATTACATATATATGTAAGACATATTTTTTAAATATTTATATGAAAATTCTACTTAATGAGAAATCTATATAAAGTACTATAATAAGCAAACTCATTTGTAGGCCAGCTATGTGTAATAATGATATACTTCTCTTTACGAGAAGAGTATATTAGACACACGTAAGATGGTGCTTTTATTGGTATAGTTAATATTTGACGGAGATAAAACTCTGGCGTGACCGTGATAAAGTATGTCGCTCGTAAACGGTGTATAATACTAGAACGAACTGTGTGTTACAAGATAATGTGCATATTAAATTAGTGATTTCTTAACAGGGACCGAGATCGGTATGATTTCGTGAAGGCGCGATATAAGTTTAATATATTTTTCATATCATCAAATGTGTGAAAATTTTGCGATAATTGCCGCGAGAGGATTATTTTCGTGTGATTAAAGTCAAAGTTATATCTCACCGAAATTTCGTGTTTTTTTTTTTTTGTATTAAAAATCATCGATTTAAACTTTTCTAATGAGCACGAAACAAAGTATATTTTTTCACAGAATTTTTAAACGAATCATATCTCTCTGTTACTATTAATAATATAAAAAACTGATAAAGAAGAAAATTGAATGCGGTTTATATAATAATATTTAATTTACTATGATTCTCTCTCTCTCTCTCTCTTTCTCTCTTTCTTCTTTTTCCGTTGAGTAATGACATATCTATAAAGAGAGTGCAAATGTACTTTCTTTTCTAAGTAAAATATTATGATCTTTTCTAGAAATGGAGATTCTTTTTTTATTCTTTGTATAAAAATAAATATTGAGATAAGCTTTTCAAAAAGTGTATTCTTTACGAGTTATTTTATTTTTATTATATATTCTGACGTAAAATATTAAATATCTCATAAAGTTTCGTTTATTTTGTTGTAATATTTTTATACACAGAATAATAAAAAGAACTAATAATATTCTATTTTTGGAACATATGCATCTGTGTGTGTGTATGTGTGTGTGTTTGCAATCTATAAATGTTTTTTCTTTAAATGTCATTATATTTTTTATATCAATATATAATTCGAAGACGAAAACGTATCTTTACAATAATTAAAGTAATTCATGAAAATACAAAAAGGTAGAAAAAGATAGAAAATAGAACAAAAAAAAAAATATGAAAGAAAAAGTACAGATGCATAATGAAAAAGAAAACAGATTCATTTACAATATATTTAACGCATATATATACGCACGCGAAAGGCAGGGAGACCTGATTGGTTGATTGACAATGAGTGTTAGTGCACGCGCGAATTGCTCGTCAATCGACGATGTCAATTTTCCGTTTGAAATTTGCAGCTCTTCGCAGTCCGTATCGCGTCGTGCCGCGAATGGGGGGCAGGTGCCCTTTTTTGCCAGTTTTCAACGATCTCCTCCACGGTTCGATCAATGCTGTGCCGATTTATAATCGCCGGAATTGCCTGTGTGTGTTCCTCGCTCTGCGATAAATCGTCGCGGGTGCTAAAGCAGTGAAGAAAATCCGGTACAGCGATTGCAGAGGAAGACGAATTTAAAAGGTGAGTGATAAGGAAAGAGTACCAAAGAGGCAGAACGATGTAAATTTGCAAATTTAAAAAATTCTTGTTACTTATTGCACTGTATGATTATTTTTCTTTAAAGAATATAAAAATTATTGAGAATAATACAAAATTATTTTTTCTCCTTTTAAACTTTTTAATCTATTTAAAAATGAGATATATCTAATTAATAATATTTTGCAAGAGAATATTTTTATTTTATTATAATCATATTTAAAATTTCATCATTTTTTTCAAATTTAAAAATTGCCATTATTAATACATTAAGATTTATAGATCGTGATATATGTTATACGTTTATATTTTGTCGAAATTTATAATATTTAAGGAAATGTTTTTTTTTTCTTAAAAAATATATCTTGTATGAATCATACAATGTACATATGTCATGGACAAGAGTATATATTCTGTTTGCTCGTTACTGAGCATGCAAAGGTTATCGAACATGCATATAAGGTCATTGGAATGAAATATTTTATCTCGTTATTTGATAGAAATTAAATAATTTCATTAAATAATGCACACACATGAACAAAGACATGGTGTTTTAGCGCAATTTATTCATTCTTTTTTATTATTTTAATAATGAAATGTATGTGGATGTTTAATCTTAATATTGTAGTTTTGGAGATAAGCAAACCCTCTCGTCGATAATAATAGCTTGTTGTAAATTGTTGATCCAACAGGTGTACCACAAGGCTATTTTGTTGTTGAACATAGTTCATATTACCAAATATTTATGGTTTCAATCGACTGTTTAGAATTATGTAGAAAAGTAAAGAAATATATATAATTAAATTAAAAAGATTTTTTTAGAAAAAAAAATAAACTAAACGAGATTATATTGATTAAAAATAAAAGAGGGAGTTTATGTAGAATTCTATTCGAGCGCGAAACTGCTCGTTCAAGCCTATAATAAATTAACATTGGAATATATGACGAGGAAACATTTCGAGCTTTTGTTTGATATCATTCTTAATCTGATTTAGAAAGAAATGAATATGTAAAAAATAATAAAAATAATATTAAAATAATTAGAAACGATTAAAACAAAATTAAAATAAAGTTGACTTGTGTATCATCATTGAAAAAATAAATAGTAATAATGATAAATCTAGCAGAAGATTTACCATTAATAAATTAAATACGAACTCAACCTTAATATTGTATATGCAAAGATGTGTACGAGAAAAAGATTTAATATTATACGAGGTAGTCTGATGATATGGGACTGAAAATAAAAGATAATTGTTTTAATCCCGGAAGTCATTGGCGGAATAATTTTCTGATATTTTCTCATACTTTAATACTTTCTTCAAAGTTCTCAATTTAAGTTTTAATTAATCTCGATGGATTGAGGGGATAAAAAGTTCATTATGTTGCGAAAAAAATCTATTAAAAAGCACGGAAATGTGCATTGATTCACTCGTCGCTTTATTCATTTCATGCGTTCTTGTATCTATACATATATATACATATGTATATATGTGAAACTATATAAAACAAATTCAATCGGTTTTCTTTCATTATTGGATAAGCTATGATGGAAAATTGACGCGAAATGAAACGTATCGTGAATATAAACGCAAATAGTCGATAAGAGAAACTCGCTGCGTTTTTTATTTCAAATTTAAATGCTATTTTCGCAAAAAAAGAATAAGAGTTTATCAGCAATAAAATGTAATTTTTAAATGAAAATCTATAGTCTTTGCAACTTATATGTAAGTTCGCAAAATAGATACGGTGACGATTTTTATAAAATATAAAAAGTTTTAATTAAGATTCTCAATCCTGCCTTGTACGTGGCCTTACTTTACTGAAATCTTTTATTTTTATATGTATAACATTCGAAAATAATATACATTAATTGTATATTTTTTGCTTGATATATATAAACGGGACTTTAAACTGTGCTCCATAAACTCATCTTGATGCGAAAAGAATTGAATTATCGATATTAAAAAAGATAATCTAAAATCACGCGATTATTCGTATACGTAAAGGCCGTTAATAAAAGAAGGAAATGCTTTCAAATCGCATTCATTGTCCTCGAGATTGCTCCCAATTAGAGAAAAGAATTATATTTCAGTGGGCGTATGAAAAGATCATCGATCGCTTTTTTTATGAGCATCTTTAAGAATCTACTGCTTTCTCATTCATCTCCCTTATTTCAGGGCTGTTTCTATAAAGAAAATACTCGGAAAAGCTTTCTCACGCATACTATCGTTCTTTTGTAAAAAGAGAATACAGATTGCGTTGCATCGATGAATAACCGATATAAAGTAAATATACAATGTGTCTCAAGTTTTAACGAACGAAACTGTGCTAATAGATAGTCTATAAAAATAGGTAAAAAAAGTATTATATATGAAAATATGGATCTAAAAATATGCTTTATTAAATGCTTAATTATAACGAAAAGAAGATGAGATAATTTCGCTTAACTTTTAATTTTAAAATGCCTCTCTCTCTCTCTCTATCTCCAACTTTTTCATATTTATGTTAAAATTATGTATATTATTAATATCAGTATTTTGAAATCAAAATATAATTCTTATATTATTTATGCAATAATTATATATAATCTTATGTTATTATTTAATATAGCTGCAATGAACGATCAGAAGCTTTAATAATGTTTAATCTATATATCTTATACAGCGTGTTCTTATTTAAAAGTAATCCAAATAAAGTCGTATTTCTCGCAATTACGCGTTTAGTCTGTAATAAATTAACGCAATTTAATTTATATATGCATACGTCTTCCTACACGTTTGCATATGTGGCATTTCGTGGGAAATGAATATTTCGAAATAATGCCGGGGGCTCGATCGAGTCGACGGACAGATATCCACGGTGAATGTGAATCCAACAAAGGGTTGACGGTGAATATCTCGAGCGAACGAAAATAAATAACGAACGATCAAACACATATACATATATATACCTGTGTAATATCGATTCAAGCTTCCGTTGCTGTAATTTTGAATGCATGTCAAGCATCATATCGCTAATATCGCGTCTTTTCATTTCTTATAAGAAATTTTTTTTTGCAAATAGAGACGCATTGTCTTTTAACTAACAATAAGGCAAATCTTAGGGATCAAGAAAAGACGATAAAATTTTTCAATTCATATCTTTTAAAAATTTTCACGGTTATATTTTACAATAAAAAAACATGCTGTTGTAAATATATTCTTTAATAAGTAAGAGATATTAAATCAACATTTTATTAATATCATGTATATTTTCTGAATATTTTAACATAATAATTTATTGATATTTTTTAAAAAAAGGTTACGTAATAATATAATAATTTCAAACAAAAATTGAGATAAACTTCGAAAAAAATTTGCAAAAATATCTGGAAAAAAGAATGACTCTTTGGAAATCGGGACATTTGGTCATCGAAAACCGAGTCTACTCATTTATCTCAATAGTCGACCATGGCTGCTGGCTCTGCGCCTTTAATCTACGTTACGTTTCGGTGGAGGATTACCTCGGGTTTGAGATCATTCGCGTTTGTACAAAAGCCATGCCACGAAAATCGTTGTCAAAAAGGCGAGAATAGACAGAATTACGATTTTATCGATAAACTAATAAAAAAGACTCCTCCGTTAAAAAATAATTAATTAAATATATAAAATAAAATTTAGCGTAATTATATTTTTCCTATACGTATTGATCTATTTTCAAACATAATTTTTGAGTAGATCTTTTCATATTAAATTTGTAAAGAAGAAATAAGCAAATGTTTGTTATATATATATATACTACTTAACAAAAAAATAGGGAATACTTTTCATACCCTAAAAATTGGGCTATTTTCAAACCACTAAAACTCGACAGAAAATGATCGTAGATAAAAAATTAAAAAAGCTTTATGAAGTTTGGAGTTTCAACTTCAACGCGCTATCGGTGACTTTAAAACATTTTTTTATCTTCCTTGTTCTGTGCTTTAAAAAGAATCCATTGTTTTGTTCTTTAAAATTAAGTATTTTTGACACTCTGCAGCTTGATAAAAAAATTTCTCTCGAAAAATTCAATTCAAGTTCCATAAACTACAACATTTTGCCTACAAAATGCTTTTTTAAAAATTTTCCTACGATTTTTTTTTACCGTGTTACACGATTTTGAAACTAAACCTGTATTTTTAGAAATAATGTCAATACTCGGCGAAGAATCATCGCAGACAAAAAATTGAAAAAGCATTTTGAAGCTTGAAGTTTCAACTGTAACATGATATCGATAGTTTTAACAAATCTTTTTATTTTCTCATTTCTAGAAAATACAGGTTTAGTTTCAAAATCGTGTAACTCGGTCAAAAAATATCGTAGGAAAACTAAAAAAAAAAACAAAACATTTTGTAGACAAAATGTAGTTTATGGAATTGAATTTTTCGAGAGAAACTTTTTTATCGAGCTGCAAAGTGTCAAAAATACATAATTGTAAGGAATAAAACAATGTGTTCTTTTTTAAAGCACAGAACAAGGATATAGAAAAACATTTTTAAACTACCGATAGGGCGTCAAAGTTGAAACTTCAAGTTTCAAAACGCTTTTTTAATTTTTTGTCTACGATAATTTTTCATCGAATTTCAGCGGTTTGAAAATAGCCCAATTTTTAGGATATGAAAAGTGTTCCCTATTTTTTTTTTTTTAGTAATGTATATATAACTCATAAATTTGTAAACCAAATCCCTTTTTGTAGAGTACATTTTTCCAGACATACTAGTTTTAGAACTGGAAATGTAGATCTGTTATCGGATAAAGGCGGTATTCCTCTCCGTGGAGAGATAAAAGCTGAAGCGCACACTTTCCTTTAAGGTTTCCATTCAGGCGCTTTCAACGTCGCGTGTATGAAGAATTAGGTTAATTCAAATGCGACGAGAGGGAAATACCTGCCAACATAGAACTTGATAGAAAGAGGGAAAGTTATGTGGATTAGTGTTGATCAAAATATATTCGCGAGTAATAATT